GACGGGGATTCGAACCGGCGACCCTCAGATTGTGAGTCGAGCGCCTTATCCACCTGGCCATGCCGGGCACAGGAACAGGGGGAATTGTATTCATTTGACACGTCTCTAATACGACCCTAGTCCACATTGCAGTTCTCTCATAAATGTACATTTATTCTATAATATTCTTTCGGGGGAGGGGTCAAAGGTAACGTAGAACTGGCGAATGAGGCGAGGCAAGAAAATGTTAGGTGCTTAGCGATTTGTTTGGCTGGGGCTTGACCAAAGTTTGTTTGGTTTGTTTTGAATTTCGCGCAAAGCTAATTTACCGAAAGTTTCTGATGAAATTATATTCTCACTAAAGATCTTGCTTAAAACAATGAGACTGAAACAAACAACTACAACAAAATTAACTTGTGAAAGGTACTTCTAAAAGTCATATAAGATCATATATCTTAATTAGATGGTTTGCAGGCACACGCAAACAGTTTTGTAACCTGTGTGTGGAGCTTTTTAAGCAAAGGGGAATTACTTATATAATTTTTTTCTTCACCAATCTGTAGCGATAGTGGCTTAGAGTAAGCATCAATAATCACGTGACTAAGAATTAAACTACACGGCAAAGTTTTGTCTTCGTTGAATGACTCAAGTGAGTATTATGTCCTAAAACTATTTCAAACAAATACTGAAACTCATAAACTCTCAGTGATAATTTTGCCACATATTTAAATTTATGACGTAAGTAAAACTGAATTAACTGCTCAAGAATATTTCATAAGAAACTTATTGAAATATTCGATAATCTATACTAGTGTCATATACCTTTTGATAAAATATGCCGATGCTATAATTATATCTTTTAGTAATATATGCTGTTGCCATTCTTATAGCTTACACCCCTATGTCCCATCTTGAACAGAGCCGATCCTCTCCTTACAGAATGTTAAACACAGTTGGAGGCTTGCCCAAGGACTTGTCTGTGTCTCACCTGGTTGACTGGTTAGATAACCATTTGAGCGGATCTTAATGGGTTGTTAGCATGTTTTTCATATGTGGAGAAAGCGATGCCGAATATCTTGGTTTGTTTTCTCTTTTAATGAGCTGTGTTTAATGATGTAGATGACTGGGAATTCTGGGAGCTATAGCAGAGTTAATATAACTCCAAGCAGAGCTAGAATTATCTGATTTACCTTGGTTGTGTCTTATGAACAACCTCGAGTTTTCGTTTTGTCATGATCCAATTTTAGTAGCCACACATTTTAATTGACCTAGAAAAGAGAGAACAAAATATGTCCATATAAATCACGTGCCAGTGTTTATGTTAAATAAAATGTTTTGTTTTCACTGGTAAAAACATTTTCACAGAATATTTTCTTGATGAAGTCTTACTTAACTTACTACTGCTTAGCAAGTCTTATCACATCTTCAGTTCAGTTATACTTATGGCAACAAGGTTTGAAGTGGCTACAACAAATAATCTGCTGAAAAGGAAAAAGTCAGCAAAGGTAGATTAGATATTGTTGTTTTTGTTTCCATTTGATTGTGCTTTCGTCATGTCAGTGTCTCACAAGTCTTGAAATAAATATATTTGTTTAAATTACAGACTAACAAAACAAATGAGATAAACATGTCCAAATTTTGTCGTAGGCCAAAACAGGCAGATCAATAAAAAGCTGTGATTACTGCTGCTCCAAACTAACTAATCTAACAAAACTCACTTGTTTGGTCACCAATCTAGAAAGGCACAGCAGTCTGCTGGTGTTTAAAGATGTGGTGATCAGTCCAATAGCTACAGGACTGAGTACAGCGTGGCACACACCTGCAAGGATACATGTTTTTCATAAACAGTAATAACATCAGAAACTTTCTCACTGTTGCAGTGTATCAGGCTATCTCTGAAAAACCGCCATTTTGTCTAGCTAAAACTCAAATTTATTCAAGTTAATGAAGTTAACAGAGGTTGTTAGAACATTTGAATACCTTGGTCCAGGATTGAGTTTACAGTCTTGATAAGGAGAAGAAAAAAACAAAACAATTCATTAAATTACCAGTAGAATATGCTGATATGATAGGAGAACAAAATGGTCACATGAGAAGAACAATAGTGGCACATCCTCACACCGGTACAGGTAATACATATTTGATAAATGAACCACTATTTAAGCTGATAAGAATATTGCTAGAGCTGAAATACAGCAAACCTTGAAGAATAAAATAATAGAACTATTAGAGAATATCTGGTTGTCTCCAGCAGAGATTGTGGACAAGAAATAGAAGATTTACTCTAAGAGATTTTCAAAAGGGAGGTATCTAATCTTTTTTAGGTGATATTCTAGTGTTTCACAACAAGTTTTAATCTGTTGCTATGAAGCTAAGAATTGTGTTTCCATGGATAAAGAAAACACGTTTGAAACTTAAGCTTGGAAGTGTGTATTGATGCATTTAAAGTTGCAGAGGTTGCAATGGGTAAAGACTAGTCAAAACACTTACTAAAAAATAGAAGTGTGCAGTTCCTTCGGCTTTTCGTCATACTATCTGTGTTTGGTGTCCAACTTCTCTAAGATAGCTGCATCATTATCAAAACTCCTGAAAGGCAATCAATTCAGTTAGATGAACATGGGACTAAGCAGTGTTTCAGTTATTGAAATTCAGTAACGTTTAACGCGCTGGTATTGACTTGTTTAGGTAGAACATTCTGAATACAAGTGACAGGGATTATGAGACTAAAGCACATATTTAAATTCATAACATAAATAAAACTGAATTAACTATTCAAGACTACTTTATAAAAACTTATGAACCTAGACTTATGTCATATACCTCTTGACAAAATATGCTGATGCTATAATTGTATCTTTTAGTAATATATGCTATTGTTATTTTCATAGCTTTCACTTGAACAATGCTGACCCTTTATATATATAGACACAACAAGTCACACGTTGTAACATTCACATAAACAATAGAACAACCATTTTTATAGTAACTATCTATTGTTCCCCATAAAAAAAAAAACTTGATATAAACTATCTCCAACAATGGATGTCAAGAAGTCCGCAACGTACGTTATAGGTGATTTAAATGCCCCACATAAAGACTTAAATGGAAATTGAAATTCACAAAGAATATAACTATAAAATATTTATTATACAGAAACAACACGTACATTATAAATGACGCCAAAACACCAACTCACTTTCAATCGCCAACAAACACGTACTATGTGTTAGGCTTAATAATATTCCCGTCCACTTTATTGACAAAAACAACAAATTTCACGGTTCACCAAGAATTCTCAAACGATCACTTCCCCGTATCAGGTACAGAGATCCCCAACACCGCGAGAATTCCCACCGGTCTACAACTACACTACAACTGACTGGCAGCCATTTAACGAAACACTTAACGCTCACTTATCACCAATGTATAAATAACAAACACGAACTAGACACATAAGTAGAAAACGTAACGAAAGCTATGAGCAAAGGTACAGCCGACACCACCTCATCAGTTTCAAAACAATAATCATACAATTACTGGACACCTGAGATACTCGCACTAATTATAGAACGTAGACGTCTCAGAAGACATTACATTTCACGTGACCCCACCCTTAAAACTCAAATAAACAGATTAAACGTACAAATAAAACACAACATTAAAACATTAAAAGAAACTAACTGGTTTTAATTTTGTAACAACCTACAAAACTCACGAAGTAAACCTAAAGAATTCTGGAAAAAATTTAAATCTTTGTCATCTATTCCACCAAATAAGACATAATAACATTACAGATGAAAGCAATTCAGATAAAGCTAATCTACTGATTGACTGTTATGAAGATTCTTTTAGCAACTTAAATACTCCGAACTGTGACACCCAGCACCACAGCCAGGTAAACTACATGAACACGAACCCTACGCTTTTCACTCCGTGTTTCTCAGCCAAAACCTTACACGAAAACATGACAACAAACCAACATAATCTAATAAACAGAAAAGTCACAATTACAAAACTGAAAATTAACATAAAAACACTTAAGAATTCATCCCCGGGCATGATGGAATTACAAATATTGTTATTAAAAAAGCTTCAAATCTTTTACTACTACACTTGACAAACATTTTGGATCTATCACTGCTAACTGGTTACCACCCAGATACTTGGAAACAAGCAATATTTACCGTAATACCTAAAAAAAACAATAGATCAAATCCCGACAATTTCCGCCCCATTAGTTTGTTAAGCTGTCTTGGCAAGCTAACGGAGAAAATAATATCGAACAGGCTTCTATACTTCTGTGAAACAAACAATGTACTATCAAACAACCAAAACATATCAAGAAAATACAGACAAACAATAGACCATCTCCCACGATTAACGGAATCAATCTACAAATCATTCAGTAATAATCAAGCCACAGTAGTTGTATTTTTAGATGTCAAAAAAGCATTTGATATTGTTTGCCACAATGCCATAAAAGATAATCTAAAACGGCTAAATATTAATGAAACTATAATCAAATGGATATCGAACATTTTAGCCGATACAGTCAAAGTTATAGTTAATGATACGTTATCAAAACCATTAAATATTACTGCGGGAGTGCCGTAAGGATCCGTCCTTTCGCCACTCCTATACATCATATTTATTAACGACATCCCATTCCCCAACTTAACATGTACATATTATTCTCATTATGCCGACGACACAGCAGACTGGATCATATCTAGAAACCCACTCATAGCAACGACCCGCGTCCAAAAATCACTGAATTTAATCCTTAAATGGCGTAACAAATAAAGACACAAGTTATAGCTTTCTTCAAAAACTACGTAAACATAAGAAAACTATCAAGAAAATCAAACTTAAGCTAGGAGAAATACAAATAAATATGAGTAATAACGTCAAGCTTCTCGGTATTTCCTTTGACACCAGCCTAACATGGAACAAACATATTTAGAACATACACGCCTCGATTAGCAAACGTATCAACTACATAAGGCTTATTGCAAGTAAAAACTCAAGCTGTACACCCGCAACATCCCTAAAAATATATAAAACGTTTGTACGCCCACGTATAGAATATGGCTGTCAGATAACCTATAACGTGTCAGAAAATAACCTGAAAAACTATAAGTACAACAAAACAGAGCAATAAGATTAGCCCTAAAGCTTCCCAAATTTACCCCCAGTAAATTGCATACATAAAATCAGCAATCTACCCCCTTTAAACAATAGACTAACTGAACTAGGTTTAAAATATTATAAAATAGCAGAAAAAAGAATCAAATTGACGGCTGCGCTACATGAACTTACAAGCGCCCCCATCGAACACACGTCGCAATACAATCTGTTCTGAGAACTGGAAAACAAGAATAAAACGCACAAATAAAGGGTTAAACACTATGTCATGTTGCTGTTATTAACCGCCATGTTCTCTTTTACAGCCAGGTCAAAAGACACATAAATTATTCGACGTTTGTTCCGTTAAAGTGGGTTTTCTCCGGGATTCAATAAAGTATATTTAAAAATGAAATTAGTTTCTAAATTCAAAGAGTCAAAAAAAGAAAAAAAATACAAAAAATCAGGAATTATTATTAGAATAATTCCACTGTCTTATTAATAGACAATATAATTTAAATTTAATACTTCGAATACATGTTTGTATCTCTCTGTCTCCTCTCGACTCTCCACATCATTGACAGCCACGACATCTTTACACATCACCAACAACCACTGGAAAACAAGACCTTTATCTTGCCTTGTCCGATCTTCTCCACAGTTTTCTCTCAAAAAAACTTCCCATCAACGTTTCTAAACGCGATTATAGTGAAATGGCTGATGAACTTTGAAAATTGAAAAGTATAGTCATACTTTGGATTCGAATATTGTAGGAGTACAGCTGTGCTGTATGCACCTTTCAGTGCAACCCTGAGAGGTCGTCCATTTATTGAATGAATTGATTAGAGATAGGGCAAATATCCAATTCAATGATTGGTTCAGGAATTGTACCATCTGATGAAATCCAATCGGATTGGATATTGATTTTGTGACGAATCAGGTAACATTTCCATCAGTGGATTATCTCACATTATAAAGTATGATGCAGTAGAACCCGATTAAAGTAAAATATATTATTTAGTTTATTTAGTGATTTAATATTTAATAATTATTTAGTTTTTAACAAGAGTGTTAAAAGTAATTATTTTAAAGGCAATAGCCATGACAAATTTCGTAACTCGGTAAGAGTTGTACGTTGTGTGTGTAGTTCAATTGTTGTAGCACTGATGACGTCATCTTTCTCGAATCCTTTAAGTTTTTCTCGCTACGTGAGTATTGTTACATCATAGTGTCTCCTAGTTTGTAGAAAGTTCCAGTACTCAGTTGGGCAAGGTATATATATATATATATTATATAGGTGACCAAGTGAGTGCATATCAAGTAAAGATTAGTCAGAAAAAAGCAAAAATAAAAAACAAACAAAAAACAACGTGAAGTTAGGTGGCGTGTGAGTGATTAGTCTTAACGGGCAATATTTTAAAGTGAGTTTCATAGTTTATCAGAGATAAGGGGGATAATTTGTCTTCTCAAAGGGTGTTTTAAAGTAATTGAGCCCGCCTGTGTGGACTTTAACGAAAAGGAGACAATTATTTAAAGTTCATTATACAACTGTGGTAACCCACAGGACAACGTAAGTGAATTATTCACCAGTACTATTGTCATAAGAGTAGAGAAAAATAGTTCATCTTGTCAAGAGGATTCTAAAGTAATCGAATCAGATTGTGTGGACTTTTGACAAGAAAAGAGAATTATTTAGAGCTTTAGATAAAATTGTGATTTCCTATAGTGTAAATAATTTTTGTACATACGTTTGACTTTTTAAAAATATATATTATATTAAAGCAAGTGGATTGTGTGTTGTCCATTTATTCTCCAAATTTATCATCAACAAGTCACACACACCTACTGTAGAAGAATTCCAGCCTGCTCATACTCAAAAACGTGACTCCAATTTTCTATGACTAAATTTTCGAGTAATGACAGTTTTCAATTAAGATTTTATAGTGTAATTCAACGATTTTGCCGATTTTTCTTTAAAAGAACTTCCTTGTCACATTTGTTTTTGTGAGAAACCTTTTCAGTCACATGACCAAAGCATGCTGCTTCGTTTTTTTTTCTAATTTCGCGCGAAGCTACACGAGGGCTATCTGTGCTAGCTGTCCTAATTTAGCAGTGTAAGACTAGAGGGAAAGCAGCTAGTCATCACCACCCACCACCAATTCTTAAGCTACTCTTTTACTAACGAACAGTGGGATTGACCACACATTATAATGCCCCCATGGCTGAAAGGGCGAGCACGTTTGGTGAGACGTGGATTAGAACCCGCGACTCTCAGATTGCGAGTCGAGTGTCCTAACCACCTGGCCATGCTGGGCCACATGCTGCTTCCCAGAGTCTTTATACAAGGAGCATTTTGGTCTTTAAGCAGAACTACTGACGCGAAATTCCTAAGTGCTTGATTGTCGATTTTTCTTCCATTGAAGCGTGTTGAGTTTGTTGAACATGAAAGAAGTCTGCCATCTTGGAGGTAAAGCCTGAAATGTCATCCTTTCTCACTGTATTGAATACCATATTGTAATGAAGTAGTAGATCATGTGCATGTGTATGGTCACATCTACTATTTGATCAGATATTAGGAGCCAGATATCCGAATTCTGATATTCAACCAAAACTAATACTTGTCTCACTCCTAGTACTGATCCACGGTGCTGTGCGTCTATGAAAGTTATTGAAGCAGCAGTGACATTGAACCGTGCATAGATTAAAAATACCTTTGGGAAAAGCTGGGAGAAACCAGTAACTAGACCTAGCTTTGGGAGGACTTGTTGTACAGCAAAGTGTAATGTGACCTTCTTAGGTTAATTAATGCAGCAAGACATTTGTACAAATAGATGAAAGTACAAGATAGTGTGCTAAATTGCTGTGGTACAACCAATGATTTTGTTTCTTTGGAATTAAGCACAAAGCTACACAGTAGACTATCTGTTCTCTGCCCACCACGAGTATCGAAACCCGGTTTCTAGCGTTGCAAGTCCACAGACGTACTGCTGTGCTACTGGGGGCTCACAATCGATGGTATCGAGATCAATGAAGATTAACAAGCTGATTTGTGTTAACATCAGTATTACTGAAATGAAACAGCAAGTACAAAGGCCTATGATTAGATTTTCCATTGGCGAGTAACTGAGCCACCAACAACAAGAAAAGTACCAGTTTTTCCTGCTACCTGGAATGTTTGAATGAATGGGTAGTTTTTGCTCCTGATTGGTAGAGTGATGTGCCACCATAAAGATATCACTATCAAGCAAATTTACTAAATCTTGAGTTTCCAGACAATCATTGTTGTGACTGAAATACCATCTGAAGTTTTCAGATTGTGACCTCATTAGCTCCCTTTTTCACTCTACTATAAGTCCTTAACCTTGGCATTGACATTTTGGTATCACTGAAGTTTGGAATCTAAAAATAATGAGAGTTGCAAGACTTTAGATTAAAAATGTCAGACTTAAAGTCAGCATTAAAAAATCTTGATTACTGGTGCCAAAACTGTTGTTTGGTGCTCTCGACTAGAGATGGTAATTAGCAAGATGCTGTAAAGGGATTTGATAGAACGTGTTAAGTAATGTTAAGTTAAGTAAGACCAGCTCTAAAAAAGATATAGTCTGACACAAGTGTTTTACAGTTGAAACAACTCTATTTAGCATGAACATTTTTGAACATATTTAGCATTTTGTTTTAAAACCTGAACCGATTTGAACAATGATAATAACCTCAGCTCTCTCTTACACTCCAGCTAAACTTTGTGGAATGAATATCCAAACAAAAAATTTGGGTTGTTCACGAGACAAATAATACTAAAAACTATTATAGCTCTCAGAATGCCATATCACTCACGTTCTTTGGCAAGACTGAACCCTTATCTTCAAACAGCAGCAACATGCCGCAAACCCATTGAAGCTCACATAAAGGGTTATCTAACAAGTCAGGAAGGTATGACGACAGACATATTCCAAGCCTTTAACTGTGTGTTAAAGGGTTATATAGCACGTTAGCAAGGCGTGATGACAGACACTTTCCTTACCAAGCTTCTAACTGTGTGTTACAGTCTCTAAGAGTGGATTCAGTGCTGTTTAGCTTGTTTAAAGAGTTATATAATACGTTAGCCAGGCGTGATGACAGACACTTTCCTTACCAAGCTTCTAACTGTGTGTTACAGTCTCTAAGAGTGGATTCAATGCTGTTTAGCTTGTTTAAAGAGTTATATAATACGCTAGCCAGGCGTGATGACAGACACTTTCCTTACCAAGCCTCTAACTGTGTGTTACAGTCTCTAAGAGTGGATTCAGTGCTGTTTAGCTCGTTTAAAGAATTAGTTAGCATATTACTGTTATAACTTTTGATGATGTTGTGGGTACAAATTTCGATAGTCTGTGGTGGCGGTTTATTTATATTTTTCCACCAGTTATTGTAATATATGTTGGAAAAGTCATCTGATATTATTTGTAAAAGTAATATCGCCATTTAGGTTTAAATGATATTGATATTTTGTAATTCATGACGTATATTTTTTTACACACCTATATTTGTCATCTCACAAGTAAACAGAGCCAAACAGTATCCTTCATTGTACTCATTTATACAAATATCTGTAGTACAAATCCATCGAGTTATTCATTAGAACATTATATTAAAACATCCATCCAAAGACGATAATTAAAACTTTAGGTTGACTCTAGATTTACATCTGCCACATTAACTAGAGAAGTCAGTGTTACCGATATTGTGTTTAGTGTGTAAAATAAAATAATTAATTAATGTTCTGTTCAATGTGTCAAGTGGAATATCTCTCTTGTGCAAGTGATGAATGTGTTGCTTTTGTAAGTAAATTCCCTTGAACTTTTACTGTGAGTTGTCTTAGTTTAAAGTGAGTGTTTAGAATGATAACACATATGGTGTTACGAGAAATCAACTATCTTTCTATCTCTTGAAGGCCGGGTAGAAAATCTTAAGAAGCAACTACAAAAACCTTTGGTTTGTCATCAGAAGGTAAGAAAACTGTTTTAATGCCTCGTAAGTTGGTTTAACATAACATGAACAATTTGCATTCGGTAATTTAGTATTATATTTTCTGAATATACTGAAACATTTCTATCTTGTTTAATTATAACTATTTTGTTTCACCTTTGCTTCAGACCCCCAGTGGCTCAGCAGTAAGTCTAGGGTCTTATAATGCTAGAAATCTGGTTACGATACCCGTGGTGGGCACAGTACAGATAACCCATTGAGTAGCTTTGTGCTTAATAGCAAACAAACAAAGTTTTTTTTCAAACATGTTTCAATTATAAATGAAAATAAACTATAGTAACTCGCAAAAGTTAGAATTAGTAAAGTGTTATTTAAAATATTTGTTTTAACATAAAACTAAACCTTTAGAATTTAGTTTATCATCTATGTAAAATATATTTAGCACATGGTTTTAAGCGTTAAAAATACTTAACTCGAAAACTCGAAGAAAAAATGTTTTCTCAAAGGTATATTCCCTTGCACAGGCATTATTTAATTGAGTTGATATGCACGGTATAGTGCGGCCATTTGTTGAAATGTTATTATAGTTTGTTTGTTTGTTTTGGAATTTCGCGCAAAGCTACACGAGGGCTATCTGCGCTAGCCGTCCCTAATTTAGCAGTGTAAGACTAGAGGGTGATGACTAGAGCTAGTCATCACCACCCACCGCCAACTCTTGGGCTACTTTTTACCAACGAATAGTGGGATTGACTGTCACATTATAACGCCCCCACGGCTGAAAGGGCGAGCATGTTTGGTGGGATGCGGATTCGAACCCGCGACCCTCAGATTGTGAGTCGAGCGCCTTATCCACCTGGCCATGCCGGGCACATTATTATAGTAATGAAGCATGTTTTTAAATGGTAAGAATGCTATAAAAATATTGTTTTTCAATGAAATTTTTTCTGTTTCAAAACTTCCTTTTGAAATGATTATGTACTGCTAACTTTTAATATGTTGCTGTTTTCATAGTACAAAGCTTGCTATCCGCTATTGAACCACGTTGACCCACCAGGGGGACACTTCTTAACATGTCTTTACTTCTAGAAACCAATTAATACTAAATTAAGATATGTTTCTTTTCTTTTTTATATTCCAGCAATAAAAATATTTTATAACATTAAAAACCGTATAAATCCATCTAGTTCAGAACTGTAACACGCAACATATGTAAAACACAGTCTTCTAACACCACAATACTAGGCCTACTTTCATTATTTGCTTCTTTCCTCCAAGCAGCTCTGATGAACTTTGAATTCAGAGAAACTAGTCTGAAGTAGCAAATCAAAGAATTGATTAGACCTGTACGTGATCTTTTTTTCATAAAATACACGTTTGGGTGAGAAAAAGAAATTCATAAATAAATATTTAAAGATAATTAGCATTATTCATAAGAGAACACCTAGTTGTAAGTACACACACTATTCAAATGATTGTCTGTTGCATAAAACAGTCACTTTAAAAGTAGTTTTCGTCATCTTCGGGCCTGTTCTCACTCAGGATTTCTGTGAAAGTAGAATCTAGAAAGTAGAAAGTAGAAAATGTTTGAATTCATTAGCAGAGGGAATGAAATAGATCAAAACATTTAAAGTCTGTTGTATGTATATGTGAACATCTGTTTCTATAATTATTTGTTGAATTTTGGCGAAAAACTAATCCAGAGCTATCTGCGCTAGCCGTTCGTAATCTTGAAGTGCTAGACTAGAGGGAAGGCAAATATTTAACACCACCCACCCTCAGCTATTGGATTACTTTTTACCGACGAATAATGGGATTGACCATTATATTATATCGTCCCCATGAGTAAAAGGGCGAGAATATTCAGCGAAAAGATTTCGTTCTCGCGATCCGCAGATTACAAGTCGAGTGCCCTAACCACAAGGCTATATGAAGATCCAAAAAAGATTAAGATGAGAAAATCGTCCGGCTTATAACGGAAATTCCAATGGCGAACTATTAGTTAAAAAATCTAGCTAAGAAAGCAAATAATTTTTTATAATAAAGAATATAATGAAGAATGAAATATGTAAGCTAGTAAGACAGTATGATTTTAATATACTGATATTCCTATAGTGTTGTTGTGCAACAACTTTTTTATGCTCATAATCAACTTAAAAACTAATAACTTCTTGTCCTAAAAAAATATATATTTTTTAAATGTGTCTTCAGTAAGAAATTGTTCTAGAGTTTTAAAATAGGTTTTTATTCGGATTTTCTATAGTAGTTTTCATACAAGGTAAATTTGCAAGAGTATGATTTTCAAAGATTTACTTTCATTACACTGTGAAATGGTACATTTTTACAGAGGGCTGAATACGTTTTATTAAAACAATTTTGAATATGCGAATCAGCAAGCCACGTGACAGCCACAGCCGATATAAAGTAGCGATGGAACAGCATGTATCAGAACTGTGTTCATAGATAAAAAGAATATGATGATAGCCCTTTCCAAAGCAAAATATCCGTACACTCAGATCATAAACATGTGTTCAAATCGGTAATTTAGAATTTCCAAGTTGAGTGTATCCTTTGCACGCAGTGGCACTGGAAAGCAAAGTAATTTGTAACAACTCGAGGAACCACGACCATCTGGAAAGATACCTGTAACAATTATAGTATTTTGGCA